CGCGACGAGACGAGCAGCGGCAAACCCGCGGAAAGAGCCCGCAAAGGAGAGAGCGGCAAAGACCCACGGACCACAGCACGAGACCCGCAGCAGGTGCAGCCACAGGAGGAGCAGACCACACGCAGCAAGACAGAGGACAGCAGGAGCAGGTGCAGCCACAGGAGGAGCAGACCACACGCAGCAAGACAGAGGACAGCAGGAGCAGGTGCAGCCACAGGAGGAGCAGACCACACGCAGCAAGACAGAGGACAGCAGGAGCAGGTGCAGCCACAGGAGGAGCAGACCACACGCAGCAAGACAGAGGACACCAGGAGCAGGTGCAGCCACAGGAGGAGCAGACCACAACGCAGCAAGACAGAGGACACCAGGAGCAGGTGCAGCCACAGGAGGAGCAGACCACACGCAGCAAGACAGAGGACACCAGGAGCAGGTGCAGCCACAGGAGGAGCAGACCACACGCAGCAAGACGGAGGACACCAGGGACACGCACGAGTAACGTGAGTAGACAAAAGCGATTCCTCCAGAACGATTCTTTGCGAGGCTTCAGGAGCTGCGAGGCTTCAGGAGGTTGCGAGGCTTCAGGAGGCAGAGAGTGGTAGTTTTTCCGTTTTTATGCGGCTGGCGTAGTCGGTACGATGATTGGAAGGGGGCGTCTGCTGAGCGATAGGCTGGGATGCGAGCCGGCCTGGAGGGGGTAAATTTGGTTAACGTCTACCAAATTGAACTTTCGCTGGCTGCATTTGGCTCAGGTTTTAACCAACAAATTGTTATCATTTTCCTTGCGGTCATTAAGAGGAGATGAAGAAGAAATGCTTGGTCTTGAGAAAGGTTGTCAGGAAAAATGTCCAATAAAAATATTTGGGGGTCTAAAGAAATGTTAACTTTTAGTAGATTCTCCAAAATGTCCTTAACATCCTTCCAAAATTTATATATGGTGGGACAGTCCCAAAAGATGTGAGCCTGATCACCGACAAATCCACAGTTTCTCCAGCATTTGTCACTCATGGTGCTCTTGGCGAAGAAAGATTTCAAAGGAGTTCTGAAAAATCTGGTTTTCGTCTTCCAATCAAACTCCTTCCAGATCTGACTGCCCACACCCTTATGACAGCCAGAGCAAATGTTAACCCAAACATCGTCATCCAAGGTGACATTCAGCTCCATTTCCCATTGCTGCTTTATGTGTTGTGTATTATCTGACATGTCAATCAGCAATTTTTTATACAACAAGGATACTTGTTTTTTCATTACACCACCATTTTCAATCAAATTAATAAAATGTTTCTCTATATTTGTGGACTCTCTTCTAATCAATTCCCAATCATTATGTTTTGTTACATAGCTCCTAATTTGTAAAAACTTATATAAATCACTTGAGGGTAACTTGAATTTTGCTCTTAATTGGGCAAACGTTTTAATTACATTTCCGTCAAACAACTGGTTCATTGTGAGGAGACCCACTGCTGTCTGATAAAGAGGGAAGGAACTCAATATTTTCATTAATAGTCATAGCTCGAGATAAAGCAATCTTTCCCTTGTTTAGTTTTTTAAAGACAGTTACGTATACAACCTATAGACATTGTGGAAATTATATTTATTTTTCATCTTCCATTAGTGTCTGAAAAGGACTGGAACGCTTATGTTGTTGAGACAGCATGGATTTTAATTATATGTCAGTGATCCTTTCTAACTGCATTTCAGTGCACTGAGATACTGAAACTTCAAGACAAACAACAAATAACACACTAAAACACAAGCAGACAAACAGAAATGTAAATTACAATTTGTGACATTGCTCTTAGTGTGTATTCATATATATGTATTTCAGATGGCGTATTGTTGTGCATGGTGGTATTGACGGCTTTAGTCGTCTCATTGTGTACTTGAGTGCCGCTACCAACAACCGTGCAGCAACAGTGCTGAATCACTTTCTGGGAGCTGTTGAAGTGTATGGCATTCCATCTCGGGTGAGATCAGATAAAGGTGGTGAAAATGTTGATGTTGCACACTTCATGGTAGCCAACAAAGGATTGAACAGGAATTCACATATTGACATATTGCTGGCAGGATGAAGATGAAAATGTTACAATGTTATTGATAAATTACTTTCTTGGGCATAGATTTAGAATTATCTTAACTGATCTTATCTTTTTTCTGCACCCCGCAGTAATGCTTTTAATGTTTTATGTAAAGCACTTTGAATTGTTTTGTAACGTGAATTGTGCTATACAAATAAACTTTCCTTGCCTTAACGAATATTAAATTCAGTCACTGTATTCATTGGACTATGGAGGACCATTTAAAAGTCTGTCCCATTACAACACTCCTGTGCCCAAACTTACACAAAAAATAGCTATTGTTTATCATACTTATCATGAGAGTTCTTCAGTCATATAACACCAGTGAAATGTATGATGGTGCACAAATGGAGAGTAGAAATTATAGCTTATACTTTTAGTCTAGTCTGTTACCAATCTGTAATTAATTCCAGTTTTTTTTTTTATTTGAACTAAAACGAAAACATGAAAAAAATATCTTCCTTTTCTTCCATAATATCCAATATTTTGTCTGGCTCTCATCCACTTTTACACTAAGGTTTATCGTATGGTAATAGTGTACAGCCTGTGTTAACTGTATATGTCCAAATTAGAAATGTTCACAGAATGACACAGAATATTTATTAATTATTTGACTTTTACCATCAGAATAGAGAGGCTCTGGAGAGATGTTTATGCGGGAGTGCTTGATCTCTTCTACACCCTCTTCACCAACCTTGAGAGAGAAGGCCTTCTGAACCCTGACTTTGAACTCCATCTCTGTGCTCTACACTGGAGCTTTCCGCCGCACATTCAGAAGCACCTCACCTTTTTCCAACGCGGTTGGAACTGCCATCGACTGCGAACTGAAGGAAATCAGATTCCACTTCAGCTGTGGTCTCGCTATGAGCGTGAAGCACAACACGACCCCATGCAGGTTTGAATAATGACAAATTCTGGCAAAAAAAAACCAAAAAAACCTTTTAACCTATCCTTCAACCAATCTCCTGTTATTGCAGGTAGACAGTGAGTATGGTGTTGACTGGACAGCACCATGTGGTCATCGATAACCTCATGTTGTGGTCCCTGAAGTTCAGCTGCAGCGCTCCCTGTCAGAGGAAGAAATACACAGTCTGCCACACCCCGATGGTCCTCTGTCGAATGCATTAGATGTGTATATACAAACTGTGAACTTATTATCTGAAATGATCCAGTAAAATTGTAAATCACATGAAGTAAAAGCTAAATGAAGCGACTCAAAGTTTCTTCTTTACAAGCTCTATTACCAGTGCAGATTTTTGAAAAATCTAACAATATAACAAACACATTGTCATTAGAAATGTGAAGCCACATAATTTTGTAATGGCAGAGCATCTGGTGTTTTATTTTAAAGTACTTCTTGCATTATACAAACAGATTGTATACATAAAGTATATCAACAAAACTTTTGTTTGAATGTGTTAAAACATGCAAAATAATGAAACGTTAAAACATTCAGCTGTCCAGGTGAGATTCTTTTACAACTTGGATATTTAAATGTTAGCCGCAGTGTCCAATTATGATTCTGATTCATAAGTAAGTAAGTAAGTAAGTAAGCTTTATTTATATACCGCCTTTCACAGACCAGAGTCACAAAGCGGTTTACAATTGTTATTTTTTTGGGCATTTGTCTCTCACTCCACACAGAGATGGGAGCGGGGTCGCCGTACAGGAGGCGCATGCCAGACCTATTGTACATATTTTTAGTGGTAGGGGAAACCGGAGTACCCGGAGGAAACCTACGCAGACACGGGGAGAACATGCAAACTCCACTCAGAAAGGCCCTGGTCCGGCCGGGATTCGAACCCAGGACCTTCTTGCTGAGAGGCGAGAGTGCTATCCACTCAGCCACCGTGCCGCCATCATCTTACGTTTGCAAAGTGATGAACGTAGGAGCGTTTTATCATCTTATACATTAATTTCAAACACTTAAGTATATGAGTGAACCTAAAATCTGAACATCATTAATAACAAAATATAAAATAAACATACTCCTTGGTTTAGACCAATCCAAAACCTGTATCGACACTCTCAATAGCAGCCAGCAGGTCTCTTTCAAAGACACTGTACTCTTTGTAATGTCTTGGGAGTTTGAGAAGGTGAAAGCACGTTGAGGACTTTGGGAAGGTGCCCTCCACCACTTCAACGTCTAAGTATCTGGGAAGCACGTTCCATCCCACCCAAAACTGCAATAGTTCTCCTAGCAGGTTTGTAGATGCTACCACAGAGGAGAATAAAAACTTGTCTGTGTAATGCAAACATTATTGTAACACTTGTCCCATTTTCAATGAAACTAGCAATTTACCGTTCTCAATGAATGTGCAAAGATATCCATTGATCCTACATGCATCTTCCAAAGAGACATCGCTGTCGCCATCTTCATCCTGCAATGGCCAGTTTATCTTGCCCAAGATGATCTGACAGAAATAATAGGCATCAGGTAACACCTATATTTCCATTTAGCTAAGAGAAATTAAACTAAAAACTATTTTTTTGTATATGAAAATTAAGATTATTTTCCCAATTATTCATCAGATTTTACCTTTATTCTCCTTACATTTAGAAACAGATTTCTATCTATGGTGAGAAATGAAAATTAAGGAGACATTTCTGAATAGGAGCTACATTTTAACTGAATGTAGAGGTGACGTTTATACTAATTGCATCTATCCGTTTGTCTCTCCCTTAGTGAGTTTACCCTGTGAATTATTCTGTTAGCAAAATCATTATCAGTCATCTACCTGATTCTCATAAGTTTTCGCAAAGAAAATAATACATATGTCCAAATAATCCCTAAAGTCAATGAAAAATGCACATTTTATTTTAATGTGTTCACCTGTGATGTATACTGCACATCAGATGATCTTGGAAAGAGCAATGGAATTGTGTCTTTCCTCTCTGTTAGCAAAGGCCAGATTAGAGTCTCTTTCAGGCCTCGTCGTAAGTGCTTGACTTGTTTGGAGGTTCTTCCAAGGACCTGCAAAATAGTTATGTCACAGTACATCTAAACAGTCTTGTGCTCGAGCTACACCTTGTATATTATCTGTTAAAAAAAAATCAACATTTTTGTGTACGACTTTTGAAAAATACAATACCTAAGACTTCCACTGTTCTAATCCTCTAAACCCTCTGTTTCATTTCACATCCTGTTGAGTACAAAATACTTACAGCATGGAGAAGTAGTTTATCCAGCAGCCACCTCCTGTTTTCAGATGTGACTTGTGGAAAATCCCAGGACATTGCCAGTTCATTGATAGCATGTTTTTCTTCAGATAACAATTCAGCAGTACCTTCCAGCTGATATTAAAAAGTAAATGTTGCATTATTAACTGGCATTTTGATTGTCATGTATTTTTAATATTTTTAAGATTAATCTTGAAAATATTAACGCATCACAATCAAAATACCAATAAATATTGGCACACTTCATTTGTTATGGCATTTCTTATTATTAATAAAACTATACCAAACAAAGACATCATGCCAACTTGATTGTTTCACGGATGTCGAGATCAGCACAGTCCTTAATATTTACTGTGGCTTCTTCTGTGGATCCTCCAAAGAGCACATGCAGGATTGCTGGGCTCAGTCCAGCTAGACATGGGCCACCATGTATGAATGAATGACCTATCATTCGACCAGCAACAACAACAAAATCACTCTCCAAAAGGAAACGGGAAGTGGAAAGAGTCAAGTGGTCTTTTTCACCCTCAAAAAAAAAAAGAGTCCCTCCTGGAGCTTCAGATAAAAGAGTAGTCAGAACACACAGGTGGTAAAAAAAAATAGACAAAACTAAAAACGGTTTTACATACGAATCAGGCAAGATTTGTAAACTTACCAAAACTAATGTCAAAACCAAACTGAAGTTTGGACATGATTGTGGCAAAGATGTGACGAGTCACGCCATCTCCAATTGCTGGATCTCCTAAGGATGCAAAACATATATTGAAAACAAAAATGTTCTTCCTCCATCTAATTTAAACAAGCTTGCATGTGTCCACGTGATACTTTTGGGTTTTAGTTAAGGGTAAAAATGGTCACAAATGAGCATATATGCTTTGCTACCCTATCTTTCACAAATGTTAAGTACTGTAAAGTGCATCATATCAATTTTAAATCACAAGATATTTACCCTTCAATGTGCATATCAAAGGGGAAGCCCACTCAACATGAGCCATTTTGTAGAAAGAAAGGATTGCCCTCTCCCTGTCCTCTGCACTGTCTCCAAGATCTATGGTAAGACTTATTGGTTTTCCAGTTGAGTACTTCTGTAAGATGTCTTGTTTGAATATCTTGACAGCTTCAGTAGGATCTGGCTCAATTTTCCAACCTAAGAAAGTTTATACACAAATAAACATTTAATATGCATAAAATGTGCTGTAAAGGTCAATCATATGACGTAGTAAAGCACCTTCAGTAATCTGAGGAGAGGACACATGTTCCTGAGGTGTCACTGGGGCTGACATATCTCCTGAATGTGATTCAGAGACCTCAGTGTTGCTGGTCGTTGCTGTTCGACTCTCCTGTGGTCTTGTCAGAGTACTCTCTCCTCTATCTACATTTTGGTTATGGCTGGCACTTCCTGAGACCTCAGCCATCTGTACCTCATCACTGGTCTCCAATAGTCTGTCAATATCAGAGTTGTTACATTTTTCATAGACATTTTTACTAGGTAAAACTTGAAAAACATTCAGGCCTATGATAAAAATCAAATAGAAGCTGATTTGTTATGTTTGCCTAGTTAATATATTTCTCATGTACCTGCTATAGTGGTACAAAGTACACTGTACATTTAAATGCACCCGCAGTAACCTGTTGGCTGAAGGTGGAGGCATAATCCCTCAACACCACATGTAATGCTTTAACAAATTTTATGTTTAAGCTGTAAAGAGCCATACCTCATGCATTCATTACTATGAGCTTTGATTTGTGAAAATTGGAACTCTTCTCCACATATGACACATTTCTGAGGTGGTCCAGCTAGCTCCATTTTGCTGCCTTCTGGCTCAGATGTCTGCAAAAGAGAGCAATTAAATTCAATACTATAAAGTTACGGTCACCCCAAGTCTGCATTTATTACAAAGACACAACTGTTTAAAGTGAAGAACTCACAGGGTCAAGATTCAGATTCCTCTGAAGTGGGCGAATGAAAATGGTGGCATGACCAATCTGAGTTTGCGGATTCTTTAGATATCTGGCATTGTAGCCATCATTGGGACAGGGGATAATGGTCAGCTTGTGACTTCTTGTTGTTCCAGTAATCTTTAGCAATTCAAATCCACCCCCTTGCCTTAGTTTTGGAAATGCATTTAAAATAAATTCTTTGAATTCATTTGCATTTGTCTGACTACGTGAAAAGAGAAGACAGAACACAGGAGCCAAATTAAAATCTCCTTTCTAGTACATTCGGTGCAGTACTCATTTAAAATGTGCCTATTTGTATAAAACATGTGGAATCTATGAGAACTATTAAAGTTTAAACAAATATTACTCAGCTGTAACATGCATGTGATAGCAACACTGTCAATTAACATATACAGTAAATATATAGATGACAGATATTAAATTGAAATTCAGGTTATGGCTAAAAAGAGGCATACCATATATAACCTAGTTTATTTAGATGCCTGTTAAATATTTTCACATATTTAGCCTGAATACACGGTAAATATCAATGGATTAAATGTATATTACATTTAATCAACTTCTGCTTTACTAAAGTGTTTGGACTGTACCACATCCAGTCTCTTTTTGAGATATTAATTTAATATCTTATGTGACATAATTTAACCACGACAGGAACCTTCCGAGCTTATATTTAATGTAAACAGCGCCAAACCTGCCTTATGTAACTTATTGCTAACTGAGGCAGCCATGAAAACGGTTACATAGGTTAGGCCCATTATATGAAAATATAAGTAGGGCCGTGGCCACATACCTTGAAATGTCAGACGCTTCTCGCTGTGGTGACAGTTTTTGGAGTAATTACATTAAAACCAGCCGCAGCAAATACACGGACGTCAAAGGCCTTTTATCAATGCAGACGACCTTCTGACGCCATGCTGAGCTTTGTGAAGGTCCCTGCTGTCTGTCACACCCTTGTGTCTTTCCGTCTTGCATCTGTATGACCTGCATTTCCACCATTGTCTGTCTGTTCACACCCCATGCCACTGCCACCACAGGGGATAGCGCCGGCGCTTCCTGTGCGCCTCCTCACCGGTGGCCCCCTCCGCTCCGTTGTGGGCGTGACTATCTTTGGTGTGTGTCTTGGATACAGGAAGCTAGGGGCTCTGGCAGCATGCTCAGCTCCCCCAGAGCTGAGCATGCTGCCTTTGTGTGCATATGCTGACTCTCCGCACTGTGCGTTAACAATAAACTTACGCTTTTGATCAGACAAAGGACCTTTGAGTTTTCTCCTTCATGGGGTATATATTTCTATAACAATTTGGCGTTGCTGACATGTCTTGGTATGGATACTTTCGGCGGGACGAGCGGCTTTGTTTGGCCGACCTGGATCACCAGCCTCTGTTCCTTTTTGGAGACAGAGGAGAGCGCGCTCGTCCGCGCACGGAAGGAATTCTTTTGCCACACAAGACCAAAAAGAACCTAACTTGGTGAGTTTTGTCTTTTCATCTGCGTAAACGAGCCCAGGGCAAACTTAAGTGTACACGGGGATTTGTTTATTTATGTATTTTTGGGGTATTTCATTCATTGCCACAGCATAGTCTGCGTGCGGGATTTTTTGGGGGCTTTTGTTCTAGATTGAAGCTAGCGGCTGCGCGTTAGTATCGTCCTGTAGGCGACCCTGATAATTTCTCCAAGTGTCTTCAGCCAGACCCGCTCCATTTCAAGAACGCGCGCTCGCTGGTTGAACCAGCGAGGGGGGAATGGAGCGCCCCAAAGTGGGTAGGAGCAGGGAGAGACTAAGCGGGTTAGGCCCATTGTTCGTACGAGAAAATGGGTAAAATCAATCTACGGATGTAAGCTATGAAGGGCTTGCCTATGGTGCAGGCCATCTGGTTTTTTTTTTTCCAATGGAGGCTATATGTCTCCGAATCATTTACGCATCTTGCGTGATAAATTTAGAAGAAGAAGGGAAGAAAAAATATACTTGGTTTTAAGAATATCACGGCAAAAGAGGTTAGAGAAAGAAATATGTAAAAACAATAGCTCCTCCGCCTTTCACCGAAGCGGAGAACACAGAGGCGGACACACACACACATCCCCCACACCCCCACACCCCCACCCTACCGCCCTTTTTTCCCCTACTAACAATAAGTGTGCACCCAAACAAGGCGTTGGGTTTTTAAAAAAATGAGCAGACTACTGTTGTCCCTCTTCCTCTCCCTATCCAGGTCTGTCGGCGCCTTTCCTCCGCGCACTGTCCTCTGCCTCAAAGCACCAGCCCCACGCCCCAACCACAGGCGGCGCCCGCACCAGCTGAGACCCCGCGAGAAGTGGGCCCAAACCGCGGAAGAAGAGGCGGAAACAGACACACGCTCAGGAAACCACAGAAGAAGCGGGGGAAGCAAATATGTGAGACACCGAGAACTGCTTTGGAGCACAGAGAGAAACTGCTACAAATCCCGTGACTGTTCTCCACGGAGGGGGCAGCGTGATATACCAAACGCACCCGCGGAAACCCCCTTGAAAGTTGTTCCCGCACCGCAAACAGAAGAAGCCAAAAGTACCGGCACGTTTGGGTATTCACCAACCCTCATGGACCACAGGCTAACGCTTTGGGCTATCTGGGCCTCCTGCGGACTTTGAAAAACTTCCACAGCCCGGCGGAAAGACTGTGTGCTCGACATGGGTCGAAGGACTGTACCGGAGGAGGCGTTAAAGGCAGAGACACACGGGGCCAGAGGATAGCAGAGGCGGGCGTGGAGGAAACACGAGCGACTGACCAAACCCGGGTTCACATTCGTCACCAAAGCGAACGCTCATGTAAGTTGAACAACAACAAATTGCAATTGGCACTTTTTAGAGATAATTCATGCCCGTAATATACGCTAACAATCTGTGGTGTACAAGTTAAAATTCTGGATGACTCCGGGGCAACAAATTCTGTGCTAAAAGTGACAGCCTTTCTGTCTCCCCTAAAAATGAGTGGCCGCTTCACATTCTCATTAGCAGCGTCGGGAGAGACGACTAAAGAGCAATTTACGTCACCGCTAACGTGTTTTGATTCTCAGGGCAACCAGCTTAAACATTCTTTTCTATATTCCCCATTGTGCCCGGTTAATCTACTAGGCCGAGACCTTATGTGCAGACTCAATTTAAATCTGCTCTCAACACCAAGCGGCCTACGGGTGGTACACGCTAGTGAGCTAGCAAATGCTCCATGTTTCACCATGCCGGTGAAACATGGAGCACAAGGAGGCACCGGTCCCAAAAGTTAACTACCACTGGAAATTGACACCAAACCCTGAGATTGCTAAGCTATTAGCCACAACAAGTGAATAGAGTTACGCCCGCACAAAATTTGGAGGTCAACCACGCGAACGACCTAAGCTGCTCTCTCCGGTCGTTCCCAGACAATAACTTGGAGTTTGAAAATTCATGCAGTGTAGGGAAGATAGGCTAACGGAGTACGTTTATTGAGATAGGCACCACTATCTGTGCTACTTAATGAGCAACAAAAACATTTTTATCGTGAAACAAAGGTGAAGTATTAAAGTTTGAGACTAATTTACATTTTTAATGAATCCGACCTGGCTTTGTTGAAAAAGAAAAAATAAGGAAAATAAACATTTTTTAGGTGACAAGAGCTCATTAGAGATATAGGGGACACAATCTGTGATAAGCCCGAAGTATAGACCACGTGGTAAACACTAAAGTTGGAAATGGATCCTTTTAGGAAAACTCTTTTAAAGCTCTACAGGCTCTGAAAGTTGCAACAATAAGAAATAGCTCATGAGACAATTGGAATTGGACATGGAAAAATATAACAAAGTTAAAAGTACAGGCCTTCTGTGTTGTTATATGTTTGTGTGTGTTATATGTTTTGTGCATGTTATATGTTTGTGTGTCATGTCAAAGTACACTACGCTGACCTTAACAAACTGGACCAAAATACTAACGTGGGAAATCGGCCTGTGATGTGACTGTGATGTGACTGTGATATGACTGTGATATGAGTGTGATGTGTGAAATGAGGAATGCTGAACGGAATCATGGAATAACAAATGTGTCTGTAATGTTTTAATGTGATCATGGAATAATTATTTTTTTGTCAACAGCATACGGTGTAAGTACTAGAGATTCAAAGATAACAAGCTTTATTGAACAGGTGTAAAAGTGAGAGTACTCTGGGATGAGTACTCTGAGAAAAGTACTCTGCGGAAAGTACTCGGAGATGAAATACCTCGCTGAAGATATTGGGAGTTCCTCCCTCTGCTGTTTGCCCTGACAGCGATTCGGTCCAACCGCAGTGAGCTGTCGGTGGTTGAAGGACAACTTTGGTTGGTAAACTCACATTTAAGGGAAGTATAAAATTAGAAACATACATTTTGTTAAGTCTGTATTTTGCTACAGCCTCTGCCCTGATGTCAAACACCGTCTGTCAATGCAGTTATGTTTTGCCCAATTGGAAAAAAGATTGACAAGCGAAAGTGGGCATTTTTTGTGTTTTTTGTGTTCTAATATTTCTTTTTCAGATGAGAGATAAACTACCCTGCTTTAGGGATGACAGTAGTATGGATCAGGAGGAAATGAGCCTCCACTTTGGCACCAAAGCCCACAATATGAATTGAGGACGATCCGGGAGAAAGCAACTGGAGATGAACGGAACAGCAAATCTACACACACACACACTAGGTCTCCCTGACCCCACCCGGCCATTCACTCAGACTGTGGATGTGCGGTGTGGGTGCATGGTGTCGGTTGCAGTCTCACGGAGGG